GTACGGAATAGATAAAATAGAATAATAAAGATTAGAAGAACAATACTGTGAATGCTTTTCAAGCATTCACACTAATAATAATAATAAAGATTAGAAGAACAATACTGTGAATGCTTTTCAAGCATTCACACTAATAATAAAGATTAGAAGAACAATACTGTGAATGCTTTTCAAGCATTCACACTAACAAGTGTAAACACTGATCAGTCTATACATCCATACAGAGCATTTAACAGCAGGACACTGGTGGGTTTCTTGACATTCACTTATATTTCTGAGAGATTAAGCTTAAGACTGACTCAGCTGTCACAAAACCATTTGTTGTTTCACAGCCATAACTCTGTCCTAGATGACTCCCTAGTGTTTCCTTGTTTTCTCTTCCCAGTGTTCCCAGTGCTATCATATTTACATTCCTCAGCCTGCACGCTTTGCGCCACCTTCCACCATGTTAACTGTGTGTAGTACAGCACCACTTGCATAAAGTTGGGACCCTGCGCTAAAGAGAACACAAGGATCTCTCATAAACCCAACTTTAATTTATAACAGAACATGGAAACGTTAAAAGAACAAAACAAAACATGCAATCAGATCAAAACATCTGAAATAGCACCACTTTAAGAAAAACACAAGTTCATTTAGAATTTAAGGACAACAAAACGTAAAAAAAAGTTATGACTGGAAAAATAAGTGATACTAGAAAGAAACAGCTGTTAACACGTCAGTAACATGTTTATGTTTATTTAAAAAAAAGCATGTTAAAGTTAAAATGAACTGAGGTTCACAAATCTGCAAAAAACTGTGTTTCAGAATAATGCTCCTCAACATAAAATATCTCATCTGCAGTACATAACATCATCACACGACAATCTGAAGAAATCTCTGAAAAAGGCTGAAAATGAATATTGGGCCTACTGTGATCTTTGGGCCCTTCAGGAGGCACAGCATTAAAAACAGGTATGATTCTGTCACGGAAATCCATGCATGGATTCGGAAACACTTCCAGAATTCCCTGTCTGTCACAGTTCACTGTGCCATCTGAAAATGCAGGTTAAAACTTTAACATACAAACAAGAAGCCATGTGAACATGATCCAGAAAACCTCCTGCCTTCTCTGAGCCAAAGCTCATTTAAAATGGCCTGAGACAAAGTAGAAAACATGGATCCTGAGTCGTCTGGAATAAAGACGAGAGGGACCATTCTGGCTTGTTATCAGTGCTGCATCTCTGATGGTAAGGGGGTGCATTAGTGCCAATGGAATTGGGAGCTTGCACATTTGGAAAGTATCCATCAATGCTGAAAAGTATATACAGGTTTTAGAGGAACATATACTGCCATCTTTTTCAGGGAAGGCTTTGCATGTTTCAGCAAGACTGCATACTGGATCTACAACAGCATCATGGCTTCATAGCAGAAGAGTTGTGGTGCTGAACTGGCCTGCCTGCAGATCAGACCTTTCACCATATGAGAGCATTTGAAGCATCATGAAATGAAAAACAACAAAGAGGATCCAGGACTGTGGACTCCCATCATTCTTATATCATATTATTTTATTTACCTGATAAATCTCCCCACCTTTAATATAAAACCTGTTGAATGCAGCTTTTGTATAAATAGTTAAAAATTGTAAATTCTATTTATGTATAAAATATATTTTTACATAATGTGTTTAAAGCTGCTCAGTTTAAGAATGTTCTGGACGAAAAGTTACACGAGCTCCATCAGAAACTTCAAAATCGTTCAGACCTAGAGCCCGGTTGGTGACTCCACCACAACCACTGGGGACAAATGTTTATCCCTCGACCGGTTGGCGAGTGGCCGCTGGAAGCTGCTTTTTGTTTTTAGGTGAAACCAGTCGTCTGCTGTGCTTCACTAAAAACCTTCGTGTGATTGCTCTGGTTGCAAGCAGATTGCTGCAGTTGTCATAGTTTGCGTAGAAGATGCTGACTTGCCTACAATCGGTGCCAACTAGTCACCGAGCAGTATTGAAGCAGTGAAAGGGGCAAACAAATCAGAAACACACTACAGCATGGATGCATGACTTTAGCTTCCCAAAACATAAAACTTTTTTGAAACTCCTGTGACAAAACTCCTGGAGTTTCTTTTGTTAAGATGCTTGTTTGAAAATCCCGTGTTTATGACTCGGTCAGCTTCAAAAGCAGCAGCTCAGTGTTCATATATGTATTTAAACCATCTGTGGAATTTTAAAAGCATATTTCAGGCATCTTACCAAAGAGTTTTCCATGTTTATAGACTAATTCCTGCAGCACTTAGATAAACAGGATTTCTGTTGATCCTCGGTGCTCTTCAGCAGCTTTAATGTCAGAACATTTCTACCTTGATGTGTTTGGAACAGACCTGATCTCTTAGTTTGGTTCATCGTGTTTTGTTTAGATAATGCTGATTTCCTTCCTTTTTGCTCTTTCTACTCTGCAGAGCAGTTATATATTCTTCTGCAAAAACCTGAAAAACATTTGAGCTGTAAACATTTTATTTTCATTTAAAGCAGGAATGTCAAAAGTGTTTGGACAGTGAATGTTCTGGTGTCAGAAAGTCCTGTTGCACCATGTAAATAAAGTTCAGTGAAGAAATATCTTTATCTGTCACAGTGAGTTTAAAGAGTTTTGGGAGAATCTGTGCTTTTAAAAACAAATGTAAAAGTTTTGATATAAAGAGTTTTATCAATGGTGCTGTATGGTGTGGTGTCATCTTCTATCTTTCAGTACGCTAGCTGCCTGTTCACAGTTTAAAAAGTTATTTACATTCACACAGAGAAACTGTTTTTCAGAATTTTGTTCTGGAGTTTAAATTAAGCTTTCATAAAAATCAAAGCCTCGAAGGATCATTAGGCAGGAGGTGCTGCTATGGACAATTAATTTCACCAGGCAGGAACAAGCTAGTCCAGTGCACATGCTCAGTAGGAATCTGTCCCTGTCTTTGTAAAAAGAGCAAGACTTCAAGATTTACAAGTCTTCGTAATTAATCCCTCCACTTGATTTCTGTCATGTCTTATTTCAGTGTCCACCATTCTTGGTTCAATCTTAACATTTCAATTGCTTATTTAAATAAATATAACTTTTAATTAATCGATGTTAAAAGAGTTTTAGGATCCAAATATACTCTAAATCTAAAGTAAGAGAATTCATGATAATAGTGGATCATCATAATAAACAACTATAAATGAATCCCACATCTGGTACTATACGTGCTCTCATCCACTAGAGGGAACTTGAGGGCAGAAGAAAATTAAGCAAACATGAGTAATTAAACAAATACATTCAGTAAAGGATTCCATACCCTCCCTCTCATAGCCCTCTCATAGAGTGCAAAATTAATATTTCTTCGTTCCGTTATGTTTAACCAGTTTAATGACGTGTGGAAATCTGACAATGAGTCAGGTCATTTTGATGAGAATTCTAGAAAAGTGTTGATAAACTGTCAAACCCTGCTGCGGTTGTGAAGTTGAAATGCCATCATCCTATAAGAAGGTTAAACTGTGGTCACGTGATCTCCTCAAACGTAAAGTGGTGGAGAAGCTGTAAAACAGAAAGTGAAACCAGCGGGTGTCGCGGAGGTTTGTTGAACTTAACATAAAGTCCAGGTAAAGATCACTGCGGTGCTCTTGCGTCTCTTTAACAATCATGTAATCGATTGTCTTTCCTGTGTTCGGGTGGATCACCCGAACACAGGAAAGATCACGTAATTCAATTCAATTTTATTTATATGGCGCCAAATCACAACAAAAGTCGCCTCGAGGCGCTTCATATACTTATACGTACTTGTGTACATGTTGAAACAGCCGACAGAGCAAAAGTGGACAATAAGGTGAGAGTAAGAGAGAGAGAGTGGACTCTCTCTCTCTTACTCTCTCTCTCTCTCTCTCTCTGTGTGTGTGTGTGTGTGTGTGTGTGTACTGGTCTTGGGTGACTTTTGAACAAACCTGTCTTCATTCTCACGTTGTGCGTTCGCAGAATTGTTGTTTACAAGTGCTTGAAGATGAATACCCCGCCTCTCGCCCTATGACAGCTGGGATAGGCTCCACCCTGAAAAGGAGAAGCGGAAGCGAATGGATGGATGGATGGAGGAGGACAGAACACCGTCTCCTGTGTCTATGGCCAGTGACTGGTCCAAAGGTCGTCCCCCAAACTTCAGTAATGAACCGGGACCCTCAGACACAAAGTAAGAGGCTGTTTCTACTTTACACTGACCTGAAAATGAGCCAGAGTCAGTGGTAGTGTCTTTAGTTGTAGAATAATGTTGTTCTTCCGGTTTTTGTTTTGTTTTTATTGTTTTTGTTAAATACCACAACTACCTGATACCTCTGCATAGTTAGGGACTCCACCCAGGGACTAGGGTGACCAGATACCCACAAACTAAATGTAGGGTAAAGACTTAAAAAAAATCTTACTAATACACTTTTTGGGTTTCAGGCATGTTATTGATGATGTGAAGGATAAACCTATAAAGAACACAGAAAAAGGAACAGTAAAATCAAACAGCAAACTGTACATATAACGTTTATTTCCCAGCATAGAATCTATAATACACTTAAAACAATCTTTAAATGAAAGACTCAGAGAAAACGTGTTGTGAAAGTCGGAACATAATCCGCTCCTGACAGTTTTCATTTCTGTTGTGTCAGCAGCAGACTTGGTGTTGTTTAAGGGTTTCAGAGTAAAAATGAAATATAAAAACAGATTTCAAATGTAGTGTACGTACAAACTTCTTATGAGGTCAGCGGAAAGTGTCCTGTTTCAGGATCAGATATTCAATTCAATTCAATTTGATTTACATAGCGCCAAATCACAACAACAGTCACCTCAACGTGCTTTATATTGTAAGGTAGACCCTACAATAATACATACAGAGAAAAACCCAACAGTCATATGACCCCCTATGAGCAGCACTTTGGCGACAGTAGGAAGGAAAAACTCCCTTTTAACAGGAAGAAACCTCCGACAGAACCAGGCTCAGGGAGGGGCGGGGCCATCTGCTGTGACCGGTTGGGGTGGGAGAAGGAAAACGGGATAAAGACATGCTGTGGAAGAGAGACAGAGATTAATAACAAGTATGATTCAGTGCAGAGAGGTCTGTTAACACATGAGTGAATGAGAAACATGACTGAAGAAGAAATACTGTATCATGGGAATCCCCCAGCAGCCTACACCTACTTCAGCATAACTAAGGGAGGATTCAGGGTATGGGGCCTGATTATTTAAGACCTTGTATGTGAGGAGCAGGATTAATTCTTATAGAACAACAATGCTGTTGTGAAAATGTTTGGTACCAACAGAAAACAAAAAATTTAAATTAAAAAATCGATATTTGTTATGTATTGTTGATCCTCATTAGGGGAAACAATAATTTGGAGGAAGAGGAGGATGGAACATCGTCCCTCGTGCCCAGCTGTATGTCTATGGCCAGTGACTGGTCCAAAGGTCGTCCTCCAAACTTCAGTAATGAACCGGGACTCTCAGACACAAAGTAAGAGGCGGTTTCTGTTTTACACTGACCTGAAAATGAGCCAGAATCAGTGGTAGTGTCTTTAGTTGTAGAATAATGTTGATCTTCCTGTTTTTTGTTTTTTCCCTGCAATTCATATGTAATAATTTTATTTTTATTGTTTTTGTTAAATACCACAACTACCTGATACCTCTGCATAGGTAGGGACTCCACCCAGGGACTAGGGTGACCAGATACCCACAAAGTAAATGTAGGGTAAAGACTTTTTTAAAAAATATATCTAACTAGCACACTTTTTGGGTTTCAGGCATGGTATTGGCAATGTGAAGCATAAAAATACTCATTTATTTGAGTGCAGTTTTCCAATTTACCATGCTAGCCTGTAAATTGGAAGTACCATTCGTACTCACATTCACACGTATAGGTAATAACCTAACTCCACTTACTGCATGCCTTTGGACTGTGGGAAGAAGTCAGAGTTTCTGGAATGAACCCACACAAACACTGATAGAACATGTAAACTCCATCCCAGATAGATCAGGGAAATACAAAAACTAACTGAAAAACTTTAAACCAGGGCCAGTGTCTTGCAGGTTTTAGATCTCACCCTGGGTCAACACACCCGGATCAACTGATTAGTTCATTACCAGGCCTCTGGAGAACTTCAAGACATGTTGAGGAAGTAATTTAGCCATTTAAATCAGCTGTGTTGGATGAAGGATACATCCCCACCCCGCAGGCACTTGAGGCCTGGAGTTTCCCCACTACTGACTTAGACCCTCCAACTCTCCCCATAGAGGTCTGAGAGATCTTCTAGAAATGGTGATGTTAATTTCTGGTTAATCGATTGGTCAGTAGGAGATTATTTTATACCAGTTAATCTCCAATCTTGAACGTAACAGGATAGGTTACCATGGCGATTTACCTCGGTAAGAAGTGAACCACCTTCACAGCTGGACAAAATGCTGCTTGGTAGTAGAGTCCTCAGGAAGAGACCGAAAAGCAGATATCAGGAAAATACTGTCATGATAAACCCTCTTCCTTGTAAACAGATGTGTCGACAGGGTGCTGAGAACTCATGTTTTGGATTAATATAAGTTCTGATGGTGTAAAAGGAAATGATTATTGCTTGATAAGTAAAGAAAGAGCATTGACTTAGTAATAGACCATACTGAGACTTTCAACTTAATTAACTTCATCTTTAGCCACATGGCCAGAATAAGTTTCCCTTTCTATCCACAGAAAGAACAAGTGTGTGCAGGAGCCCGTGTCCAGTTCTGAATTTTGGACAGCCAGTAGGAGCAGCTGTGTGCAAAGTAAAATTGAGCATCTGTTTGCTGATGGAGTCATTAAAAAAAACTAAGCAATATATGTTAAATGTTAAATATATGTAAAAAACTATATATAAATTTTGTTTTATTGTCTATATTGTCTTTCAGTAGATGATGGCCTTCAGGAAGTTTTCGATGAACATAAAGTCTGTTTGAAGATGCGATGTCAATCTGTGACTGAGGGAACTGTTAAAACAGGAGGTGAAACTCTCCTCAACGCAATCTACACTGAGCTCTACATCACAGAGGGACAGAGTGAGGAGGTTAATACCCAACATGAAGTGAGTCAACTTGAGAGAGCTTCAAACAAGAAGACCCTCCATGATGCTCCAATTAAGTGTTGTGACATCTTTAAAGCCTTACCCGAACAACAAATGCAAATCAAAGTGGTTCTGACCTACGGTGTTGCTGGCGTTGGAAAAACCTTCTCAGTGCAGAAGTTCACTCTGGACTGGGCAGAAGGTTTGGAAAACCAAGACATCAGTGTGGTGGTTCTGCTTTCATTCAGGGAGCTGAACCTGATCAGAGATGGGCAGTATAGTCTCCTGGAGCTGCTCCAGGTTTTCCATCCAACATTACAGAAGGTCACAGCAGAGAAGCTGGCTGTCTGTAAACTTTTGTTTATATTTGATGGTCTGGATGAAAGCAGACTTTTACTGGATTTTACTAAGAGGGACGTCATGTCTGATGTCACACAGAAGTCAACGGTCACGAATCTGCTGACAAACCTCATTGAAGGCAGACTGCTTCCTACGGCTCTCATCTGGATAACTTCCCGACCAGCAGCGGC